AAAAATGATGCTGTATATTGAGCATGATTGGCTTATTGTGTCGTTATTAGAAAGTTGTTAAAGTAGTGAAAGCATGCTGAACTGTACTTGTGAGTCAAAAGATGCAGGGTTAGTGGTAACATAAAGTATATAGTAAGACTCGAGTGAAAGTTGGATTTTTGGAAAGAATGAAAGAGTGGGTGTCAGGGCCTCGGGTATAAATGGTTGGGGGCTGATACGTCACTAATGGAGTATCGAGGTCTCGGGTATAAATGGTCGAGGGTCGATACGAGGAGTCCTTTGGAGGGAAGACTATTGGGGCCTCGGGTACAAATGGTCGAGGGCCGATGCAGAAGTGTCGGGGCTCTGGGTATAAATGGTCAGGGGCCGACTCTAATGGAAGGGGATAACTGTGGAAGGTTAGGATAGCTGAGATAAGTATGGAAGTACTTACGATGTTGGGGAGACTAGAGGTTGGTCGTTAATGTGTTTACTAGTTGTGAATGTTACTGAATTTTCTTATGGAATGTGTTTATGTTTGAATGCTTAATGTGTTGAAAGACATGACTACGATTGTTTCATGATATAAATGAGCATGATATGTGTGTGTGTTGGTGAGGGCTACTTACGGAGTATATTTTATATACTCACCCCCCTTTTACAATGATTGTTTCAGGTGAAGGACTCGGGGGCAACCGTGGTGATGGGACGGAGGAGACATGACGAGCAAGGACCATAGGCTGCTTAGTTACTCCATGTTTAACTTAGGTCATTGGTTAAGGCCTTATGTTATGGCCAATAATGATTTGTTTGTATTTGAATAATTGGGAGATTCCCCCTTGTTGTTAGTTTCATTTCGGGATAAGTGCCTATTTCAGTTTTATTCCATTCATTGAGTTTCGCTTAGTTTGAATAATAAACTTGCCTCATGCGGTGGTCCACGAATGTTGTTGAATGATATTTTATGAGATTGATTTTTCGTTTAATTGATGTGAATTAGAACTTGATTTTATATATTTGTTGCATAGGGAGTTGACAAGACGTTTTTGGGGGTTAAGTTTAATTAGTTGGATAGTTAATGTGTCCTAGAAGTGTGTGAGAAATTCTGGGTCGTTACAATTTATAACTTAAGAAGGGAAATATCTTGGAATTTACTATCTTTCCTTTTCTTCTTTTTTTTTTTCCTTTTTCATCTCATGTATGATATGTAATATATAATGGTTTCCTGTATATTTTTCAATGTGTGAGAAAGACAATTCTTTTTTCTCTAATTTTGTTAGGTTTTTTAGGCCCATCAATTATAGCAACGTGTCAGTTTTATTACCAACTAGGATGTGCCACGTGGGAGCTGGAAATCACCTCCAACACTATTCATGCACTAAATTATTAAAGTATGAGAGAGTTGAGATTTGAGAATAATTTTTAACCTAACAATCATTATATAATACGGCAATTTTAAATCTACCCCGAATAATGTAACTTAGGCATTATTTATTTTATTAATTTTAAAAAATATTTATATTTTAAAATATTATATTTGTACTAAAAATATATATAGTTCAATTGTGTTTCATTTTGTTTTTTAGGAGGTCATTCCTCACCAACCACAAGGCAACACCTCATTTGATAATAATGATAAATAAACATAGAAAATAATACATGGAAGGATATGCACCTCATCTATAAGGTCGAGCCAACCCATCTCTCACCTTGCTCACTTGCGATGCAAGTTGAGGCAAGCTATCTGTAATGCCCCCATTACTTATAAGGGTATTTTCATAACTTTATATTATTATTGTTTTTTTAGGTAAGCTAGTCAAATCTAATTAGCTTTATGCCAATAAACTTTAATCAAATCCTAGTTAATAATTGTAGGCTTCTAATACTCTAACTAATTAAGCTCAAGTTAATTTTATTTACTTATTAAAAAGAAATTTACAACAAAATTTAGTGATTCATCTTATCAATGTTTAATTAATTATGTATGTTAATAAAAAATAAATATGCATAAGAGATTAATAAGATTAGCGTGATTATAATTGTATTTAAGTAACAAAATTAACAATACTACTTCAGTAATTAGATAAATGTTGTGAAATATGGTAATTGTAATGGTAGAATTATTTGAGTATTTATAAAGTTTCATACATTTTATCCAAAGTTTTATTTTAAGGTAATTAACCAAGTAAAGCCCCATATTACCTTTATTTTACTCTTTATTTTTCTACATTAATTAAATTAACTTAATTGGGGTAATATAGAAAGTTTTATTTAACTCATAACCATGATTAGGCAATATAACTCACCTTCCACTAACCATGATTAGGCAATATAACCCACCTTCCACCCAAGAGACACATGTAGTAATTAAGTTAGTTAGGAAGACCAAAAAACACTAACAATCTCATTAAGTAATTGGCCATGCATGAGGAGAGAGAAAAAGTTTGTTCCATCTTCCAAGATTCATGTTTGTTTCATCTTCCAAGTCATTCTCCTTAAGTTACCTATGTTGGTTTCATTCATTTTCCTCCAAGAACATTTCTAAACAAATCTGAAAATTTCCTCTCAATCATCTATCCTACGTTTTAAATCACACCTTAGAGGAGTTGTGGTTGCTTTTCCAAGTCCCTTCAAGGATCATTCATTGCAGTTTTGTCCTTTCGGTAAGAACGGTTTCTTTAAGTCTAATTTTGTAAGTAGATTTTTCCTAATAATTTTTATAGAACCTAAGCATGTTCATATCCATTTTCTAAGGTTTCCATCATCATTTCAAGCTCTCTTAGTTGCTGGAAATTTTCTCTTTTTATTCTTTACGGTAGAGAGGAAAACGCACTAACGGTAAGCATCATTCTTCCTTATGTAAATTATTTTAAGGGTTCATTATTAAGATCAAATAGGTACTGTTTAGGCCTTATTTTTGTTGATTTGAGATCTGAAAATCTGAATTTAAAAGGTTCTAAAAATGTTCATAAAATTGCTTCATAACGGTTTTTAACGGTTTATTTTATTTTTATAGTTTTAGCTTGTTTAGTATCAAATTTTGGATTGTTAATTCTGAATTTTTGAGACCATGACCAGCACCTTTAAACTAACCTAAAATGTATTTGAATGTATTAAAATTGATTTTTATGATTAGTTTTACCTACGGTTTAAAATTGTGAAAACTAGTGCTATGTGTTTTCTCTAGTTTTTTTTGTAAATTTACAAAATCAGTAAATTATTTTATCGATATTATAGTATATAAATCAGAGGCTAATATGAAGATTTAAAATTATTTTTCACAAATTTATATATATATTTTATGATTATTATGGACTTGGTTAATTATTAAGGGATTTCTACTAGTAGAATAGTGAACATATCTAGTTATGAGAACTTATTGGAGAAAGCTTAGTTTAGGTAATTGAGTCCTAATTTTAGTTGTGTTAATTGTTATTAGGAAGCTTTAAGGAATTTCTTTTAGTTTGCGAAGTTCAGGCAAGTGGATTCTATCATAAGTTACCGCCTTGTAAGTTTTGTTGTATTATTGTTTGATTGTAAGTGAATTATGTTATGTGTTGCATTGTTTTGTTATTGAATTATGTTATTCATGTTGTTTAAATATATTTTGTTATTGAATGGTGATGGTGGTTAAATTTTATGTATTACAAAGCATGTTATGATTCTATGGTTTTCTCATGTCATTTTAAGTATGTTTAATAGCAAATCATGTTTAGGTAAAGCATGACATAATGTGTGATGCATTTCATTCGTAGTGAAGTTAGTAGTCTTATGTGTCATGGATTTAGGTAAGATTAATGTTATGCATGAAATACCCAAATTAAGCAGTTATGTTATGCAGCTAGATGTATGATATGACATGTATGGTTTCTGCTAAAGGCTGGGCCCTACGAAACAAATTAGTTCATGTTAATGGTATTTATGGGGGGTAATTACCCTATAAATATTACATGCGGAATTGACGGTTATGGTCTGGGGTATTTCTGTATAGCATGACGCCAAATTAAGGATTTAGATATGTAAGTTTATGCTAGCAAGCACAAGTATCTTAAGTTAAGTTGTTCGTTGGTTTATATGTTAGGTTGAGGTATACATGCATATAAACATGATGTGTGTGTTTGAGCATGAAAGGTTCCTTATGGTGGGAACTACTTACTGGGTATTTGTATACTCATACCATGTTGTTTCAATTTTTTTACAGATAGTTATATAGTTGACGGGAAGAACGTCGAGGATGACCTGGGCATTGACGAGGAAGAGATATGAGACACAGTTGAATTTTATTTATAATTTATACTTTTAATTATGACTATACTACATTTTTACTTGTTTTATTTAAGGATAATAACTTTGTGATTTCCGCTGCTAAAGATTTATAAGTTAAGTTTTATTAAGTTATCGTTTTCATTTTTAGATGAAAATACAAGTTTTTATCTTATTTTATTTTAATGAAATTATGTTTTATGAGTAATTATCTCAATATTATATTATTAATGACATATAAAAATTGGGGTCATTACACTATCATCTTTCACTTCGGCAATCTGATGACCGACTGTGTGGATCAGAGGACACTCAATCAAGAATCAATCTCTGAGATAGTCCACGACATACACCATGATTTCTGAAACCTTAAAGAGCCATGGGAGGCTTGTTGGACGCCCTCTTAGAAGCTACGCCTATAAATAGAAATCTGCTACCTCATTTCCAAGTACGTGAAACTATATTGTCTCTTGGATATAGCTCGATCATTCACTGACTTGGGTGTTATAGTGTTTTCTCTTTTATAGATCCTCTACTTGCTTGCTAACTCCTTAACTCATCGGTCCAGTCAACACCTGTTCGAGCCGAGCTTCGCAACCTTGGTTAAATTCCTAATCAAACATGTTTAAACTTAATCTTAATGAAGAAATTTTTTTTTTTAAAAAAAAAAGAAAACATATGTTATGTTTAAGAATTGGATAAAATTAATTTAAAAAAAACCGTTAAAACAAAATATTAAATAGTTATCAAATAAAGTTTAAAATTAAAAATAATAATAATAAAATATATTACATGTGCGCACATAAAAAAGGAAACTCGTGAAGCTACTGTTCACGTTCAAGACTTAGTATTTACTTGAAAGTTTAAAAAATGGATTTAACTAATTGAAAACACATTATAGAACTTTTGATAGAACAAAAAGCATTTTAAGTGCTACTATATTATAAATGATTTAACTAATTTTCTTCCAAGTAAATACAAAAAAACATCACTAAGGAAAGTTTGAGATAACGTTTGAAGAAAATATTTCCAATCGAAAACATTTCTTCTATAAGCACCTCTAGAATAAGCAGTAAAAAGTACTTCTAAAAGCACTTTAAATATTTGTTAGGATTTTTAGAAAAAATTTCAAAATTACTTTTAGATGTCTAACCCATACCAAAAAATGCTAAAAGTCAGCCTCATCGGGCCCAGCCCAAAGAAGTAATGGCCCAAGCTTGGCCCAGGTCCAACTACGGGCCTCAAGTATTGTTTGGGCCGGGTTTGGGCCAACCCAACCACTCAAATCTAGGTTCATAGCTCAATCCATGGGCCTAAGTTGATGAGTCAAAATTGGATCGGGCTTGGATCGGGCTTAGATCGGCCCGTATATTAATATATTTTTAATTATTAAATTTTAAAATTTAAATAACTTCCAAACTAAGTTTTTTATTTTTAAATTCTAGAATATGTGTTTTTATATAATTTTTAGTACATTTTTTTTGTTGTTTTTATAATCTTACTAATAAATTTTATTATGTCATATTTTATAAATTTAAGTTGCCTTATTTTTAAAAATTATATTTTTTATTTTTAAAAATTAAATTTATATCTTTTTACGAGAGAAATTGAAAATTTAAACACTCTGAATTGGAACTTGAGAGGATTCAAGATTTAGAATTACAATTAGAATTTGAGGGAAGAAAAAGAAATGAATGTTGATATTTATAACAAAATTTTGTATTAAAAAATTTTAAAAATTACAACCTAAATATTAGATATGTTTAAAATAATTTTAAATTTTGAATTTGAGAAGTTGTACAGTTATTTCAAAACAATTATTTAAATGAGATGTTGGGAAGTAAGTGGTAGTCTCTTCGTAATATGTACCTATTTAAGAGGGAAAACAAAAGATCCTTAGCATACTATATCTAATTTATTTTTTATAATAAATAAATAATAAAATAATATATTAATATTATATAATATAAATATTAATAAATATTGGATCGAACTTTTGGACCGACCCTACTAGCCAATCCAAATACGGCTCCAACTGGCCAAAATTAAAAAATGAATATCCATATCCAATCCAATTAATGAAGGGTTGGACTGAGTCGGGCCGGTCAAATGTTGCCCTTAGATCGAACGTGAACTGGGCCTACACCGGCCTTTAGGCCTCAAGGCCCGATGATGAGGCTGAGCTAAAAGTCACTTTTTAGCCTTCTAAAAGTCATCCCACATGCACTAGTAAAGAATGGATACAACCGGGTAATTATTATGGACATGCAAAATTTTAAATCTGCATCGCATCTAGTAATTATTAGAGGGCAATTACACTGACAGTCTCAATAAATAATTTTTCTAAATAAGTAAAAGGAAAATGCAATTACACTGTGACAGTCTCAATAAATAATTTTTTCTAAATAAGTAAAAGGAAAATGCACACCATGAACACCGTCTTCCATGATCTCAAAAGCTCCCAGCCACATTTATAAGAAATTTCAGCAGATGCAGTGAAGAAGAAATTATATTCTTCTTCAGCATAGAAATTAAACATTTTGATGCAAACTTGAAAGAAGGAAAGAAGGTGAAAACAGTAGTTTCGTTCAATAATGTGCATTCCATTTCCCACTAAAGAAGGCTTTTGATTTTGATGTTTTTGACAGGTAGGAGGACAACACAAGAACAGCACATCATTTTACAATACAGTTCGAATTGATCAATTTCCAATTCTAATCCATCTCTCATTTTACAGCACAAGACTGAAGGAACATAGCTGCAAGAGATGAGCATTTCTTGGCAGAATTCTTAGCCCAGCTAAGAAGACCCTTCCGCTAACGTCCTCTTCGACGTACTGATGTAAAGAACTGCATTAGAAAAAATAAGTTGAAGTTCGGATTATTAATCTCAAATCATAGAGAAGCATCGGAAGGTTCTATTTCAATATTTACCATTATTGCCACGGATGAAAGCGTCGCCATATTTGTTCTTCAACTGTCCATTTACGTATTCTTCGGTCTGCTCCATCGCTATATTCATGTATCCATCGAGACAAGCTAGAATACCTTTATAATGCAAACATCACATATAATGGGATCTTCAGGATAGAATTCAAAATAGATGTTTTTACTTTATGGATCACGATACACGACTCATGAGTACATCCTAAGAAGCACGCACACGGACACGACAGGACACGGCGATACGTCAATTTCTAAAAAACTAGGACACGGACACGCTGGGGATACGTTATTTATTTATTATTTTTTTTAGGATATAGAAATGCTAAATTTACTTCGCTAAAAAACATAAATGTCAAGTAAATTTACTGGGTTGAAGATGTACCCACTAAAAAGCATAAAAATAGTAAATGTAATCCACTAAAAAAAGCCTAGAGAAGGATTTGAATTTGATTATTGGGTCGAAGTTGTCATCCTAATTTAGTAAAACATATTCTACTCCAGTTTAATTCATATGAAATTAGGGAAAAAAAGGAAGTAAGAATAGAGCTTATTTAATTTAACTCACACAAACAGAAGGGTGGGTCACTAGGTAGCGTTTTAGGGTTTTTTTTGTAGTTTAAGCTTTTGAGATTTCAGCCAAACTTCTTGGACTTCCAAAATTGGGCTAAGGAAACAATATTTTTTTATCTGGCGTGTCCCTCCCGTGTCCAAAACGTGTCCCCACGTGTCTGAAATTAAAATAAAAAATTTAATATTCGAACACTTTAAATTGTGTGTCGCACACGTGTCCGGAGCGTGTCCGGACATATCCGTGTCTGACACTGTCCAACACAGAAACTCCCCCTTTTTTGCTGTGTCCGTGTTTTATAGAGTACATCTGATTTCCAATAATCATGTTTAAAATCATCAACAATGAGACACTTATCGCCATCGGATCAATGGTTCAATCTTTCCCACAAACTTTTAACTCAAAAAATATTCATGTTTAAAATCAAAACATCATTTTGTTTGACGCAAACAAGACAGGTTCAACGAACAAAGAATTGAAAAAGAGATTATATGAAAAAACAAGTTAGACCATAATTTATCAACAAGGAAGACCAACAGAACAAAAGGATAGTGCCTCAACATCTTCAAGTAATTCTTTTTCATCAATATCCATCAGATTTTTAAAAGTGATGATATGATTAAGAGAACAAAAATGAAGCAAATCTGAACAAGTAGAGACTTATTAAAGGGGAAAGCAAAAAAAGAAGCAAATATACCTCGGTAGTCAACACCAGAATTTAATTTCACAACAACAGGACGGCCCCGAATTGATTTGAGAAAGTCCGCTGGTGTCTTTGTTGATGCAGACCCTTTTTCACCCCCAATACTCATCTCTACTTCTCTTCAACTTCTTATACCTAATCAGAGATTTGTAATCAAATTTATTCAACACCATCAACAAAAATAAGAGAACTAATGAGAAATAATCTCTAAACAGACACTAAATATATCTTTCCAATGAACTATGACACACACACCTAATTAAAGGAATACTAGCTCAGACAGAAAAATCTACAAGTCTCAAGAATGAAACAGAGAAACCATTTAGGTAAAACATCTAAACCATAAAGAGGATTGAAAAAGGAACCATGATGATAAAGCTAGAAAATGAAAAAGATTCAAGTCCACGGTGGCTTTCTTAAATTTGGAGCAAACATGAACATTTACAACCATAACATCACGGTTTATGAATCTCAATCCTTTCTCAGATATAAGCATCATATAATAAGGGCGTAAGACTACAGAATTGATAGTCTAAACATAACCAAAATTGCGAAAATCAATGAAAATTATTTTCTAGGTTGATTTTTGCCCAACCCAGAAGCTATTGCATCCTCTCTATTGCAAACTGCCTCTTGAAGAGCACTCCGACCATGCTCATTCTGAAGACTCCAATTCAAAATCTCAGCAGAAATTGGGTCACAAAGACGTACCCATCGTCACAGGCCACCCAACCTCTCTGTTTCCATTCTTTGTTTTTGGCAGCCCACCCATCTCCAATACATCATTACAGCCGCCATTTACAATCTTTGTTCCTCTTCTGCAATAGGACTCGCCGACTCGCCGGAACTCGCTCGCCGGATTCATGCGGCAGAAGCCCACCACGACGCAGCCAGAGACCCAGAAACACGGTAGAATAAAAAAGTTAAGAGAAAAGCCAGCAACTTACAAAGAACTCGTCGTCGCCGCGGATCGGTCGTGCACCGAGAGTCGCCGCCGCTGGATCGTTCACAGAGAGAGGACTGTGGATCGTGCGCGAATACTGAGAAGTCTGGGAGCGGCGCTAAAGAAGACCTCAAGAGGAACCCTAGTGGTTCGGTTCGTATTTTACTTAAACCGACCCGGTTCGGTTTTACTGCCCTACTACGAAGTCGTGAACCGAAGCAGAGATAAAAATACGGTAACCATTTTTATTTATTGTTTCTTTAAAAAACGAAATAGAAACAACAATATTTTTTATAATTATTTTCTGTTTTTGTTTTTATTTTTAATATTTTTATTACAAGAATTTGTTGGATAGAGATTTGGACATATGATATCTTGATCGGAATAGATACCTCAACTCATAATGATTTTTTTGTTGGTAAAATAAAACTTACTAGATATGATATAAAAAGATATAACATATACTTGATGGATCTAATTTATTAAATAAAATATAATTTACAATATATATTTCTTTGATATAGTAGTAATAAATTATTAGACTTAAATAAACAATCAATTTAATACCTTTCTTGGTTTTTTGGCTGAGATCAAATGTAGTATATGTTGTTATCAATTTAATAAAGAATCAATTCTCAAAATATTTTAATTGAAAAAATAGAAAATATAAAAAAGAATTAAAACGTGCTACTAATGAGATTCTTTTTCCAAAACGTTAGAAACAAGATGGATTATAAACATATTTGTTTCTCGAAAATATAAGATGAAAACATTATCTAATGGATCTTTAGTTCTCCTATCCACGTTTCAATCCAAAACAAATATGGAATCTTTAATATGAAAAACTAACTTAACTTTCTAACATAAAAACTCCGTGTCCTCATAGATTAAATTCATCCAAACATCTTCAAAATTAAGAAAATTGAATGACAAAAATCTTAAATTCATGCGAAAGCAACAAAATTCCCCTTCAAACATCAAACATATATCCTCCAAACATTGAACAAAATTGAAACAAATGAATAGGGTTTCAAGAAAGTATCGTCAATTTTCCAATTCGAAAATTTTGAACATGTTTATGCAAGAATTTGTACAAGGTTTGACCTAGCCAAGGTCGAACTCGGATGTCAATAGCCTCGAACTACTTTGGACTGACATGAACAATAGGGCAAAATCTCCAATGCTCAAGTCAGTAAGCAGTTCGGACTTAATAACATGTTCGAGGAGAATTTCGATACCTGGGGTAAGAATGAGGCCCTCTATTTATAGGCACGGGGTCCGAAAGACCTCACGACCGACGGTTATTCTTGCCGTGTCGCAGGTTGAACTTGTCGGGTCATTCAGATCGAACCGTCGAACAGGCGTACAAGTCGGGAAAGCGGCTAACCCCCCCGATAAGAAACTCTTGAGAGTTGGATCTAAGAATCTTGCTAACAAACAAGACCCATAGAACTCAATTCCAAAAACTCCGAAAACGATTATGGAATCAACCCAAGGAAAGTAAAAACCGGATTACCTTGATGATTAAATATCTCAAGGCAAGAAAACTTGTTCCTTGTTTGAGATCCGAATCACTCCACAAGCAAGATAGATCAAGTCTCTTTTGAATGATCCTAAACATGCAAGCTATCACTAGATTGCAAAGTACATTAGCTCTTGGCTAAAAGAAAGGCTCAATGGCTCATTTCATTACATCTTCAAATCTATATTCTATCCTCTCAAAGCTGACATACATGGCTATATATAGCCTTCAAAATAGTCCAAAGTAACATATGGGCATGTGAAGGGTTGGAACACTTAACTCCATCAATGCCATAAACAACCATTAACTAAATGTAACCTAAAAAGTAAATGGAAAGTCTTAAAACTTAAAATACTTAAAAATACACCATAAATCCGAAAATAAATATTAAATCAGCAAACCAAGAGTTTTGTAACCCTAAAGGATTAAATGACCTCATTTAATGTAGCATGAACTTGAAATCCATAATTGATGCTTTTGTCTTGAATGAAGCTTGAGTTGACTTGTATTTGATTTGAATATGTTGGAGATTCATATCACCCCCTCACCTCGCAGGTTCGAGGTGGAGCTGCTAGTTTGAATAATTCTTCTTCAAGCGAATCAATGTCATCCACATGGCATGACAATTTCCTCTCCCAAACATGGGCCCCCTCTCTGTCACGTTCGGGGTCGACCAGGCAGAGAAGTTCTTTTACAGGAAATTGGTTGATATGGTGACTTCCGACTTCGAAGTGAAAAAATATGATCGTTTCGAGAAGTTGGGTGATCGAGGTGACAACTGGAAATGCACTCGAGTGCTTCGTCGCTTGAACTCTCGAGGAGATCTCGATCTTTACCTTTGGACACTTGTACGTCGGAGATTAGTTTTCGGAGTGCTATAAATAGTTGTGCATCTCAGATCCCATTTTACGCTTTCTGAATTTTTGTAGCCTCACCTAATCAGTTCAAACTTTGTGTTAGGTCAGTCTCTTCTTCTGCTCTTTTGTTTTTTGTATTACTTACGTTATGTCGAACTCGTCTAGTAGCAGTTCGTCCAGTAGTCTAGATCATCTCCTAGGAAATCCCATTCTAACGAGGACTTAGCTTAGGGTTTAGTCGCTGACCTCAAGGAGATAGAAAACTTTTGTTTTTCGGATGACGATGGTGAGGACAGTGATGCCTCGACCTCAAATCAGGGTTTATAATTCCCTTCTATTATGCCAAAGAACTACCTCGGACCGGTCCGTAGGCGGTACCAAATTCCCAATTCCATCCTCATGAGTTTACTTCAGGTCGGGGAAAGAGCTGACGATCCTCCAAAGGGATAGGCCACTCTTTATTTGAAAATGTTCCATATGGATTTCGGCTACCCGTACACCCTTTCATCCAAGAGTTCTTGAGCCGAGCTGGTCTCGCACCTTCCCAAGTGGCCCCCAATGGATGGGGAGTCATTTTTTCCTTAGCAATTCTTTTTTAGGTTCAAGCTCGTGAGGTGGATGGTCTCGAGCTGCTTAGGACCAACCAGCTCCTTGCTTGCTTCGAGGTGAAGCGTATCTCCAAAAAGCCTGGGCGATATTACCTGTGTGCGAGGAAATGCACAGGGAGTATCATCAAGGGTCTCACCTCTATAAAATGGAGGGTAAGGAAGTGGTTTTACGCTGCGGGAGACTGGTTGCCGAAGGACACGTCCAACCAGCCCTTCTTCAGCATTCCCTTTTGATTTGGGAACTTAGGTAAGAGGTCATACTGCCTTCTGTCTTTCTTTGTCTTCGTTTATTTTGCTGATCTTTTAACTTATTTTTTGTTGTAGTCGCAATCAAACTCGTGCCCGGCCTGACTCAACCGACCTTTGACGTATTGAAATACTACAAGGATCGATTCAAAGGTGGTAGAAAGGTCGGTACTCTGATCACTAACATACTGCTACACTCCTCGGGCCTTCTTGATTACAATCCTCTCGTAGTACCTATCGAAGCTTTGAGACCCAACTCTGAATTAGGTAGGTTCGAGTTCGAGCTTGTTTTTTCTTTATTTATTTTTGTTGAAAATGCCTTTTAACATGCTTTGACGTTGCAACAATGGTGTGTGGTTTAGCTAATGCTGTGAAGCGCAAGACCAAGGGTGGGACTTGTCGACCCAAGGTGTAACGCCCCGCGTTACTCAGGTTAGCTTGCCTCGAGTTCCGGGAAATTTTTATAACAAAATAAATTTTTATTTATTTATTTATTTCATTTTATTTTGTTTGATTCATCAATTATCTTTATTTAATTTAAGTGTGACATCTCGGCTATTGTGTATTGCTACAGAATTAGTGGTGAGTTAGTCGCGTGTAGTTATTTATCAAATTATGGTTTAGTACGGATTCCACTATGTGACACTTGTTTTGGGCCATTGGGCCAATTACGAAATTATATTATTGGCTTGTTTTAATAAGGAGGGGTTGGGTAAGTGGGCCTTAAACAAAAGGAAAAGAACCCAAGCCCAAAGGAGTTAAAAGTTTAAAACAAATAACCCTAGCCCTTGTTCTTTTCCTCTTCTTCTTCCTCCCTTTCCCTCTCTTGTTGAAGCCGCCG